TTCAAAAAACCCAATTTTCCCGAGAAGGAATTCCCACATGGAAACACTAGTCACTCTCAGTCCAGTTCCACCTTAAACTGACTTCAAGGCTTAAAGTAGCTTGGATGACCAGGGACCCAGCTGTAATTTTGCAAGAGGGCTGGTCAATTCTGACTTACTCTCAGGAATCTGTTGGAATCTTAGCTTATTACATGAAAGGTCTCCTTCTGGACTCCTCCCCTTGCCACTCTGGCATTGAGTTTTGGACCCCTTCTCCCCAGAGAGCCTTGAACCAAAAGTTCCATTTTCTGCGACTGGCCAGCACCCTGGGGCAATGCAGTTTCTGTGGTTTTGGCCTGTACATTACCATCTTGTCAATGTGTTGATAGTTTTAAGTTTGTTTGTTTTTATATTTCCTCTAACTTTTAAAGCTGTTTTTTCTGTGAGAGGGTGGGTACAAGTAACCTAAATTTCCTTTATTGGAAATAGAAAGCCCAGTATTAGTAGTTTCAGATGAGCCAGTGTTTGGCTCTGAGAATTAGGAGTTTTAAATTTGGAATCATTATGTAGAGTCAGCGTAGACTATTAGGAGGCATTTCTGATTGTGTGTTGGAGCATGAAATGTCACTTTGTTGGCTTCAGGATGGTACTGGGTTCAACCACGCATTCATCCAGCAACTGTTCATTGAGTTTTTACCATGTGCCAGGCACTGTGCAGGGTATTTACCACAGTGAGAAACATGGATGTGCTCTCTGTTCTCAAGGAGCTTCAGATCAAATGAATTGCTAATTAATTAATTAAGGTACGTATCTAAAACATAATACCCTCAAATCTGATAAAAGGGTTGCTTTCTGAAGCAGTGGAAACATTCAGGGTTAGTACACATACTCCGAATTCCCAGCACAAGTTACTTTTGGAAGCCCTGACTAGGACTACACTCTGCACCGAGAGAATCTCATTGTAGCACATCACAGTTCTTTCCTGTCTGTAGGAGAGGTTCATCAGCCTGCATCTGACAAATTGAGTTGTGCATTCATTTCTTTACTCAGCAAACATTTCTTGAGTACATACTATGAGCCAGCCACTAGTTGTGCATTGATTAATTAAAAAGGCACAGTTACTGTATCATTCATATTTGTATATCTTTGAAACACTAGTGATTTTACTGATGTTAACCTCTACATTTACTCACTATCTGTCTTGCTGCCTTTGAATCGTGGTAGTTACTTTTGGTGTGGGCCAGACCCCGTGGTTCTGAACAGTGGATGGTAACCTGTAGAGTGAGTCAGCCTCTTCTGCATCAGGAACCTTGCCCCTAAACTTCTCTCTTCCCTTTAAGGTAATGCCAAGAGGAAGGATGACCAGAGACTCTTAGGGTAATTTTTAATTTTAATTAAAATTAAATGTTGCAAAGCAAATCAGAATACGTTTTTCAGGAGATTAGCATTTTCAGCAAGATATTGGGTG